ATTGTGTGCCCACTGTCATGTATGCACCACTACACATAAGCACTGTTCCCACAGTTATAAACACTTCCCCAGTAAAAGCGGGAAATTCTATAAGAGTAGCGCGTGTGCCCGCTGTTATGCACGCACCCCAACTCACAAACACTGTTTATATGGCCAAAACCCTCCCGCCACGAGCGGGAAGTTTTATGAAAGTGGCGCGCGTGCCTACCACAGTCTATGCACCCCCACCCATAAGCACTGTCCATACAGTCTTAAACATTTCCCCAACTCACACTGTGAGCATTACGGATGTGGCGAGCGTGCCTGTAATCTCACACGCACCCCTGCACTCGGCATTCAACAAAGCTGCTCAGCGCGCACCTCTGAGAGCTGTAAGCTCAGTATTAGCACAGGGCGATTTGCCGGCGGGAGCCATACGTCACTGCGACACGCCCCCAGCCAGCATTCAGCCCATATTTGTGCGAGCGAAAGCTTGGGAAAATATCCCCGGCATGCCGAAATGGGTTTTGAACATAATAAAACACGGTTACTCGCTTCAATTCGCTCGCAGACCGCCCCGCTTCACAGCGGTGGTCGAGACGAAAGTGAGAAAAGATGTTTCACATGTTCTACGCACCGAGGTGCTCAAACTGATAGAGAAGGGCGCTTGGAAACAGTCCCTCCCTCTATGAGCGAGGCAGGTTTTTACAGTCGCTATTTTCTCGTTCCGAAGAAGGATGGTGGTCTCCGCCCCATTCTAGATCTCAGACATCTGAACAAAGCTTTAATGATTCGCTCGTTCAGAATGTTAACAACCAAGCATATCCTCGCGCAAGTTCGCCCGGGGGATTGGTTTCTATCAGTGGATCTGAAAGACGCTTACTTTCACATTCCGATAGCGCCTCATCACAGGCCATTTCTGAGATTCGCTTTCGAGGGACAGTCATACCAGTACACAGTACTACCATTCGGCCTGTCACTGGCACCCCGTACATTCACGAAATGTATGGATGCAGCACTTTCCCCCCGAGACAGCGGGGAGTGCGAATACTGAATTATCTCGACGATTGGCTAGTCCTAGCACAATCAGAGAGCCTGTTAGTGACACACAGGTCTTGGATTATCAGTCATCTAGAATGCCTGGGTCTAAGAATCAATTTTGCAAAGAGCATGCTATCCCCCAGCCAGAATATTTCTTTTCTGGGAATAGTGCTAGACTCAGTGCAGATGACGGCGCGCCTCTCATCAGAGCGCGCGCTCACTATCCGGCGCCTTGCAACATCGTTCAGAGCGGGCGCGCGTGCCCCCGTCAAGCGATTTCAAAGAATGCTCGGTCTCATGGCCTCGGCATCAGCTGTACTCCAGCTAGGATTGTTGCACATGCGTCCTCTCCAACGCTGGCTCAAAAGCCGTGTCCCCACTCACGCGTGGCGCTCGTGCCACTTTTTAATCAGAGCGAATCACGGCTGCATAAAAGCCCTGACGCCCTGGAAAGCTGTCGACTGGTATCAGTCCGGTGTGAGTTTGGGCGTGAACACAAGGAGAAAAATGATCACGACAGATGCTTCCAAAATAGGTTGGAGGGCTCTTTACGAGGGCAGGCCTGTCTCCGGCTTGTCGTCAAACCCGGAGAAGCGCCTACATATAAACTGTCTGGAATTGAAAGCGGTCGCTTTGGCTCTCAGAGCCCTGTTTCCATACCTGAAGGACGAGCACGTCCTGGTCCGAACGGACAACATGACGGTAGTCTCGTATATAAATCGTCAGGGTGGACTCAGGTCGAGCTCCCTGCACTCGATGGCCAGGGAACTCATCCTATGGTCCCAGCGCAACCTGCGCTCGCTGAGAGCAGCGCATGTGCCAGGTGTTCTGAACCAGGGAGCGGACATGCTGTCCAGAGACAAAGTTCTCCCAGGAGAATGGTCTCTCCACCCCCTGACGATTCAGTGGTTATGGCAAACCTTTGGCAGAGCAGAGGTCGACCTCTTTGCCTCCAAGGAAAATACGCACTGCCCTCTCTTCTTTTCAAAGAGCACAGACGCGCTCGCCCAAATCTGCCCGAGCCGCCCGCTGTATGCCTTCCCTCCGGTCGCGATGCTACCTCAGGTCATCAGTCGGATCAGGGAGGAGAAATGTGCAGTGCTCCTGGTAGCCCCACTCTGGAAGAACCAGACGTGGTTTCCAGAACTGATGCAGATGATGCAATCTGCCCCATGGCCGATTCCGCTGAGGCTAGACCTCCTCAGGCAGGCCAACGGGATGATCCTCCATCCCCGCCCCGATCTGTGGGCCCTCCATGCATGGCCCCTCAACGGGTTCCCGGGAACCTCCCCAGTGGAGTGTTGAGAACCATCACTGAGGCGCAAGCGCCCTCTACGAGGCGCTTATATGCCCAAAAATGGAAGGTGTTCAGTGACTGGTGTAAATCCAGAAACCTGAACCCTGAGACATGCGAGGTACCGAGTGTGCTCGTTTTCTTACAAGAGCTGTTGGAGGCAGGCCGCACCCCCTCCACGCTCAAAGTATATGTGGCTGCCATAGCGGCATCACACGACCCTGTAGAAGGACGCACACTAGGGAAAAACTACCTAGTTGTTCGTTTCCTGAGGGGCGCCAGGAGGATAAATCCCCCACGCCCCCCCTCAGTGCCGATCCGGGACCTGTCCACGGTCCTGGACGCACTCAAAAGTGCCCCGTTCGAACCCCTCCGAACTGTGCACCTTAAACAGCTCTCGCTCAAAACTGCTCCATTGCTGGCTCTCGCCTCGGTCAAGAGAGTGGGCGACCTGCACGCGCTGTCATCAAGCGCTGCCTGCCTGGAGTTTGGACCTTACGACAGCAGAGTTGTCCTCAGGCCAAAACACGGGTATATTCCTAAAGTGCTCTCTACACCCTTCAGAGCACAGCTGATATCTCTGGCCGCGCTATCGTCTCCAGCAGATGAAAGCGACGCTAATTTACTCTGCCCGGTCAGGGCGATCAGAGTATATTTGGAACGTTCTGCCCTGTTCAGACAGACAGAGCAATTGTTCGTATGCTTTGGCGGCCGCACCAAAGGTCTCGCTGTTTTAAAGCAGAGAATATCGCGCTGGATAGTTGATGCTATAGCGCTGGCTTATGAAGCCAAGGGCCTTCAGTGCCCCTTGGGCATCAGAGCTCACTCAACGAGAGGCATGGCCTCCTCGTGGGCGTGGTCGAGTGGGATACCCTTTCAAGATATTTGTGCGGCAGCAGGCTGGGCCTCACCGTCAACATTTATCAGGTTTTATAACCTACAGGTCCCCTCATTGCACTCCAACATACTGTCGGTCTAACTAATGCATAGGCTGGAGTGTGTACATGCTGAGCATTATCTCCTCCCTTATAGGGTCCGTCTCTGACTGACTAGAGGGTTTTTCATGCATATCAGTACATAAAAATGTGCTTGTGTGTTTTTCTCTGGACGCCCAGTGGGCCGTTCCACATTGTCCCTTATAAAGCCCGCCTTCGGCCGACTCGTTGGATAATTACTTTGCTTAAAGGCTCAGGCATCTGCCTCCGGCTTAATAGAGCGAAGTCAGCACGCACTGCGCTTTACATGGTGTTCCCATTGCGTAAGCTACTTACGCAATCGGAGGAACCTCTCGAAAGGGAACGACTCGGTTACTAACGTAACCTCGGTTCCCTGAGAGGAGGGAACGAGTATTGCGTAAGCTGCCGTGCTTGTGCTTGGTCAGTTCGCTTCAGTCGATTGAACCTAAAGAACTCAGACGACGGGGCGCCCAATATAGCCCTTGGCCACGCCCATCTTGGCGGGCTCTGACGCGCGCGGGCGTGAAGCACGCTCATTGGAAGCGGGTTCAGAGTCGCCCCGTCATAGGTTCGTGCAGTTGCCGCAGCACAGCCAATGACCGAGCTGCCTCGCTCATTGCTGTATGCTGTGCAGCTGCAATGCGTTTTACATAAAGACTTCAATATTTCTCGAGAAAAGGAGTTTTCCCATAGCGTAAGCTACTTACGCAATACTCGTTCCCTCCTCTCAGGGAACCGAGGTTACGTTAGTAACCGAGTCGATTTCTTTCCCAACTGTTTATGTTCACTCAAAGGGATAGTTCACCCGAAAATGAAAATTCTGTCATTTACTCACCCTCAAGTTGTTTCAAACCTGTATGAATTTATTTCTTCTGCTGAACACATAAGAAGATATTTTGAATAATATTAATAACCAAGCAGTTGATGAGTCCCCACTGACCATATTTTTTGGACATCCATAGTACGGGAAAAAAATACTATGGAAGTCAATGGGGTCCATCAACTGTTTGGTTACCGACATACATCAAACTATCTTCTTTTGTGTTCAGCAGAAGAAACAAATTCATACAGGTTTGGAACAATTTGAAGAGGAGTAAATAATGACAGAATTTTTATTTTTGAGTGAACTTTTCCCTTAAGGCTTTACAGTTGTAGCGCCCCCATAGGTGCAATTTTGATGGGACTTTTCAGTATTCAAGTATATTTTTAGTAAACATATATCTTGCTTTTGTCTATTTGTTGTGTCTTTGCTTCAGTCTGAAACTCAGGGACACAAAGCATGATTATTTGTCTATGTCACACAAATCTCTTTTCTGGGCATACATGAACGAGGAAAGACTAGTCCCCAATTGAATCGAGTTAATGTGCATGCGTGTTCTAGATTAAACAAACTATTATAAATGTGTCATTTTGAGCATTCCAATTTCTCCCATTCACTATTTTACATGTAGTCCACATAGATTATGCGGCCACACGTGCCTGCACACACAGCAGTCATTCAAGTAAGGAATGTGAAGGCCACAAACTGAGATAACGGTCTTCTTGAACTTGATTGTATTTCATGGCTACATTTGACGCTTAAGGATGTTTTCATTCCAAGTTCAAAACCAAGGTCCCTTTTGAATCTTCTTGTTGGGTTTCACTTATAATATGATTACGGTTTTCCCTTTCTCCGATTTTTGTACCTTCTAGAGATGACACATTCTGCTCTGGTCTGCTGCTTTTTTTAGGGATTTCCAGTGATTTTCCATGGAGTGATTGGAAAGGATGACAGAGAGTCAAACAGCCCCTCCTTTTTCAACATCTCTGAGATCAACATAATCTTAGACTACCTGAAGAAGCTGCTCCTGACACAGGCCAAGAAGGGCATTCCAAAAATTTCCCCCAAAGAGATTGGTATTATCGCCCCCTACAGGAAACAGGTAACAATACATTTTTAACAGCTCAGCCACAGCAAACCTGATGCGTACCACACACAAAATGCAGCTAATGTAGTAGCAAGTAAACCCTCGAAAAATTTTGTTTGCAGAAATACACTACCATTGAAAGGTTTGTGGTCAGTACGTTTTTTTTAAATGACTTTGATAGAAGTCTCTTATGCGACAGTAAAATCTATAATGTTGTGAGATATCAGATATTACAGTACAATTTAAAATAACTTTTATTTTATTTTAATATATTTTAAATTGTCATTTATTCCTGTGAGGGCAAAGCTGAATTTTCAGCTTCATTACCGAACAAGTTTACAAGTTGTTTTTTTTACGTGTTTGAAAGAAGTCTCTTCTGCTCACCAAGGCTGCATTTTTTTTTTATCCAAAAAATTAAATTTTTATTTTAATATTATTTAAATGTCTTCAGTGTCACATGATCCTTCAGAAATCATTTTAATATGCTGATTTGGTGCTCAAGAAACATTTCTTATTATTATCAATGTTAAAAACAATTGTGCTGCAAACATTTTTTGTGGAAACCATGATAATATAACGGTGACAAAATAACAGCATTAGTTTAAAATATAATATATATAGATTTTTTTTTTTAAACTAGTCTTCACTACATTTGGACAATCAGAAATATCTACACACTTTTTCTACTGTTTTCTTTCCACATAGATTGCTGCCCATTATTCAAACAAGTTTTGAATTCAAACAATTTTGATTCATGCAGATCATTATCATTGTCTTAAAGATTTTTTTCTATCATTGTATACCATTTTTCAACATTGTTTTAATTGTACAGGTAGAGAAAATCAGGAAAGGCATCAAGATTGACAGGGAACTTAGATCCTGCATTGGCATTGAAGAGTTAAAGGTCAGTGCGAGTCTGAGCACTCTGTTATCGGTTCTCAACCTTTATCAGGACACGTGAGCAAAAAATGACTGCTGTACTTGTTGTGTTGTGTAGGTTGGTTCCGTGGAGGAGTTTCAAGGCCAAGAGAGGAAAGTGATCATGGTGTCAACTGTTCGCAGCAGCAAGGAACACTTCACTTTGGACGAAACATTCAATATTGGGTTTCTCAAGAATGAGAAGGTAGTATCTCACACACACAGTAGACAATACAACACAGCGAAGCCTAAAAAACAAAGCTGGCTCACAACTCTCTCCTCCAGAGATTCAATGTGGCGGTGACGAGAGCAAAAGCCCTGCTGATCATGGTGGGAAACCCCATCATTCTACAAACAGACACAACCTGGGGCAGGTATGAAAATTTCCGACTAACATGAAATTAAATTTGATATGAATTCTGGACTTGCAAGTTTTTTTGTTTTGTTTTTTCACATTTGTGTTTGTAGGTTTATTAATTACTGCATTGAGCAGGAAGGTTATACTGGATATGATATTTCCAACTTGGAGGGAACGGAGGAGGTTGTTAAGCGTCTGATCGCTCTAAACATCCACCAGGAGATCACAGGTAAGAGATGGCCTTAAGTAAAGTGCGGTCACACTAGACTTTGCACTTCTTTTGCTTCCATCAAGGCAGTCTTTCGCTTAAGTTCAAGTGTCGTGAACTCTTATCTGTGAATTTGCAAAGAGATATATTTGAATATTTTAAATGTATTGTATTTATAATTGATTATTTATTTAAATGGCCCACGATTGTGACATCACATCCTGTTTCCAATGTTTATTAAGTGTCTGAAGTAATTTTGTGTACCTAAGGCCTAGTGTGACCGCATATTCATAACTCACCATTTATTGACTGGTTATGCAAATACACTACTGTTCATGTTTGGGGTTAGTAAAATTTATTTTAAAGGGGTCATATAATGCCATTTTTGTACAAGCTAATATGATTCTTTAGGGTCTAAATTAAAAGTTTGTAATATACTTTAATTAAAAATTCTCATTAGTATTGTAAGAAAACACTTATTTTACCTGGTCAAAAACAGCTCTGTTTTCAGCACGCCGTTTCAGTGCATATGACTTTAAATGATAATGAGCTTTGCTCACCCCGCCTCTCTGTTCTGTGCATACACCGTTTGTAACACAATAACCATAACGCGTTGTTCAGTATAAACGTGGAATTATGAATTATATTGAGAACGTCATACATAGAAAACATGCCGTAATGTACCCTGACTGAGTGTAAACCTTAGACGCATTCATTGTGAAACGTGTAGCTAGCAATTTGCAAAGATTAATATATTAATATAAAGTTTAATAAAACGTTTCACTCACTTCCGTTCTTCTGGAGGTTCAGCAGGAACACGAATATCTGGTACCGATCCTTTTTAGCATAGCTTCTTAGCAAATCCAGCTTTATACTGACCCTCGTTTATAAAGCAGTCTGGTGTGTGAAATGATTCGCGCAAACATGAAAGCATTGACGTTGCTCGTGTGGAATATTCCCTTCGAAAACAAAACTCAGCCACTGCGTCTTCAGCGGTTCGGATTCAGGAACATTAAAATGACTGTGTTCGTTATTACACCCAAGAACAGAACACCACAATCGCTTAGACGCCATTCTGCTCATAGACAGTGCTCCGGCACATCAACAATGACCGCGCCGGTCCGGTCCGCGCCGCGCAGACTATGATTGACAGCTACCTCATGTGCGAGGGCGGGTCTGTGTTGAAACGCTCCCGTCAATCAACAATCGTGGGAGGGGCGTCCGTTTTATTGACGTCACAAAAATGAACGGCTCGATTTGAGGCAGGGGAAAACATATAAGGAGATTAAAACAAAACCACTGGATGGATTTTTATCATTATATGATGTTTGTGTACAGGCACTGCCAACACACATTTCAGTACAATCAACTTGTAAAAGTGCATGTACCATTATATGACCCCTTTAAGAAATACTTAATTCTAATAATATCAAACTTAATACTTTAGATAATACATGTGAAATCGATCAAAAGGACAGTAAAGGCATTTATAATATTACAAAATATTTCTATTTCAAATAAATGCTTTTCTTTTTATCTTTATATTAATCAAAGAGTCATGGAAAAAAGATGTATCACTGTTTCCACAAAAATATCCTGCAGCACGACTGGAAATAATAATAATAAATGTTTCTTCAGCAGCAACTCAGCGTTTAAATGAAGGATCATGTCAAGGATCAAACTTTTAAACAGTAGTGCATTTGAACCTACACAACTCTCCTGTTTTGTTTATAGCCTCTTTTTTTCAGGACAATTTCTTTTCTTTGTTGGGATTGAATGTACAGTAAATCATGTGAACCAAGTGCTCACTATCATATTATTTCTCCCCCTAGTGGAAACAGAGGAGAGTGTGGTCCAGCAATATGAGAATCCTGCATGGAGACATGAACATTAAAATGAAGTGTCATTATTAAAGCCCCTCCCACTCAGGTCTTCATTAGCATAGCCACACCCCTTTGTGAAGTTACACTGGAAAAGTCTTAAACTTAGAAGCTTAATGTTAAAGCTAAAACAGTACTATGATATATGCATTAAATTGGTAATTCATTGTTCTCAAGATATGCTTTTAATAAAACTTGTCTGTCTATGCAATAGAAACTAGAAAGGAACTTTTTTAAATGTATAGATTATGATCAGAGCCGGACAGTAACGGAGTACATTTACTTGAGTCGAGTACAATTTTGAGGGATCTGTACTTTACTCGAGTATCATTTTTGGAGAGTACTCATGACTTTACTCAAGTACATTTGAGAGGCAAATATTGTACTCTTTACTCCGCTACATTTCTATCCATAACCGTGAGTACCCATTACTTACTTCTAAAAGAAAAGGAAAAAAGAAAAGTCTCGGAAACCCTCAATTTGTTGTTTCCCTCTCAAACGTGATTGGATTGTGCAGGCGCCACTGATTGGGACAGCCTATCAGCAATCAGCTTTCCCGCCAAAGTCAATACCATGGTCAGATTTAGATAAGATACGAAACCATGGACGAAACAATGGATGAAGACGCTGCAGGTCCATCCCGGGAATGTGCCAACCCGTTTATTGATTTGATTGATGAAAAAAAAGAGAAACTCACATGTACACACAATTGTTAGCTGAATTTTCTTTTCTGATATTACACATTAATGTAAGCCGAGCATTTGCTTTGATGTTCTTGAGTATGCGGTGTGTTTAACACAATCAGGTTCAAATGTGGGTGCAAAAAATCCATTAAAACTCTAGCAATGGTTTGTCAGAGCGTTGCCATTGTGCTATTGCCTTGTGGGCAAGTGAGAAATGTTAAATAAAGCAACATGGTAAAAAGATGAAAATGACTTGATTTTACTTTCAATTCCTTTTACATTCTCCAAGGTATTAACATTTTTCATAACTCCATGTAGGACGTTTCTGTACATAAATGTAAGCACTGTGGCAGTAGTAATGCAATATTTAGAAAATGTACTTTTGTACTCTTGATACTTTTTAAAAACAAGTACTTCAGTACTTTTACTTAAGTAGACATCTGACTGTAATACTTTTACTTGTACTTGAGTAAAATTTAGCAAGGGCTATTTGTACTTTTACTCAAGTAATGAAGCTGTGTACTCTGTCCGCCTCTGATTATGATTAGAGAAAACCGAGAAAAGGAGCTGTAGCCTTTTGCCTAGAAAGATATGGGAACTTCAACACCCATAGTGCACTGTAGTTTTAACAAAAGCCCTAGAGCTGTCAAATGTTTGCTGACAAATAAACGGGGAGATCTGGGTGCAGGTAACATTAAAAAAGTAAACATTGTTCATTTACATATCGACATACAATTGAAAATACGGTTGAAAATCTGCAAATTTGTCCTTTCATCTCAGGGCTTTGTATGCAATTTTGTCTATATGTTTAGATACATTAGGCTAAATAAATATGAGCACATGAAACACATGATTGATAAATCACTGATTACTAAAAATGAAGTGCTTTATTTCATAAAACTTTCAGACAACACATAGCAGCATTTATTTAATAATGCTTAATAATTCATGGTGATAATGGTTTTGATTTTGGTCCCATTGGTTTGTTTGGAAATTTGCAAATGAAGTCAATCACATCATTAAAAAAATCATGTACTTCATGGAAAAATCATGGACTTTTGACTGAAGTAAATACAATGGAGGATCTCGTGTGTTTTTTCCGTAGTTTCTTGTGTTTACACTTTTTTTTTTTTTACTACAAATTCTACAGTTTATTATTATTTATTTTGGAAACCATATACCTGTAATGAGGAGCATGGTTTTATACCATGATATGCCTATACAGTTAAACTCTGGATTGTACGCAATAACTATTGTTCATTTCATTGGGGCAATTACAAAGCATAATTTTAGAATAATAAACAGCTTTAAAGCCTCCAATGAATTAAGTATGAAGCTTTCTTCTCTTTAAATATGTTTTATGAGATGTTTAATAGTTCTAATGAATTTGAATTTAAATTAAATCAATTTAATGAGAGCCTGATGAAAGATAAATATCAGTGTCTTACATTAATAAAGTGTTAACTCATTACAAATGTTATTGTTAAAGGGATAGTTCACCCCAAAACGTCATCATTTACTCACCCGAATGTCATTCCAAACCTGTATGACTTCTGTGGAGCATAAAGAAGATAATTTGAGAAATGTTTTTTTTTTTTTTTCCATACAATAGAAGTCAAGAGCATTTAAAATAATTTAATAGCAGTAAATTTACTTTACGGCATCCTATAGCTCGAAATTAAATATTAAGTTTGTTACCTGCATTTGCAGTAAATGCAATAACATCTATCATTATTTGTTTTTTCCCTATTTAATTTATTCATTTATTTATTCCAATTTAAGGCCCTAACCCCAGCAAAACATTCACAGTTGAACTCATGGCCCGGATGGGCTGGATTTGTCCAGGGTTGAATTTCAGCCCCACTGTAGGGACATGTCCATAACTATTAACTATTACATATCGTATTAAAAGATATGTAACAAATTCATGGTGTTCAAAAGCATTCAAAGTTGGTTCATTTGCCTCACCTGCTCTCCCTCCTTACTCATATCCTTCCCTATGTATTCTCCTTGTGTTTTTCTGTATCAGTCATGTGGTTGTTTCAGGTTGTGGATGTTTTCCTAGTAGGTGTTACTGTGTACATACACTCACCTAAAGGATTATTAGGAACACCATACTAATACTGTGTTTGACCCCCCTTCGCCTTCAGAACTGCCTTAATTCTATGTGGCATTGATTCAACAAGGTGCTGAAAGCATTCTTTAGAAATGTTGGCCCATATTGATAGGATAGCATCTTGCAGTTGATGGAGATTTGTGGGATGCACATCCAGGGCACGAAGCTCCCGTTCATCCCAAAGATGCTCTATTGGGTTGAGATCTGGTGACTGTGGGGGCCATTTTAGTACAGTGAACTCATTGTCATGTTCAAGAAACCAATTTGAAATGATTCGAGCTTTGTGACATGGTGCATTATCCTGCTGGAAGTAGCCATCAGAGGATGGGTACATGGTGGCCATAAAGGAAACAATGCTGAGGTAGGCCGTGGCATTTAAACGATGCCCAATGGCACTAAGGGGCCTAAAGTGTGCCAAGAAAACATCCCCCACACCATTACACCACCACCACCAGCCTGCACAGTGGTAACAAGGCATGATGGATCCATGTTCTCATTCTGTTTACGCCAAATTCTGACTCTACCATCTGAATGTCTCAACAGAAATCAAGACTCATCAGACCAGGCAACATTTTTCCAGTCTTCAACTGTCCAATTTTGGTGAGCTCTTGCAAATTGTAGCCTCTTTTTCCTATTTGTAGTGGAGATGAGTGGTACCCGGTGGGGTCTTCTGCTGTTGTAGCCCATCCGCCTCAAGGTTGTGCGTTTTGTGGCTTCACAAATGCTTTGCTGCATACCTCGGTTGTAACGAGTGGTTATTTCAGTCAAAGTTGCTCTTCTATCAGCTTGAATCAGTCGGCCCATTCTCCTCTGACCTCTAGCATCAACAAGACATTTTCGCCCACAGGACTGCCGCATACTGGATGTTTTTCCCTTTTCACACCATTCTTTGTAAACCCTAGAAATGGTTGTGCGTGAAATTTTGACATGTGTCTCATATATAATCAATACACATAACATATATTTGGATGTGAAATATACAAATGACACACATGCATAGCACATTGTCTACAGACATGTGGCATATACACTCACCTAAAGGATTATTAGGAACACCTGTTCAATTTCTCATTAATGCAATTATCTAATCAACCAATCACAAGGCAGTTGCTTCAATGCATTTAGGGGTGTGGTCCTGGTCAAGACAATCTCCTGAACTCCAAACTGAATGTCAGAATGGGAAAGAAAGGTGATTTAAGCAATTTTGAGCGTGGCATGGTTGTTGGTGCCAGATGGGCCGATCTGAGTAAATATGCCACATGTCTGTAGACAATGTGCTATGCATGTGTGTCATTTGTATATTTTACATACAAATATATACACTCACCGGCCACTTTATTAGGTACCCCATGCTAGTAACGGGTTGGACCCCCTTTTGCCTTCAGAACTGCCTCAATTCTTCGTGGCATAGATTCAACAAGGTGCTGGAAGCATTCCTCAGGGAGTTTGGTCCATATTGACATGATGGCATCACACAGTTGCCGCAGATTTGTCGGCTGCACATCCATGATGCGAATCTCCCGTTCCACCACATCCCAAAGATGCTCTATTGGGTTGAGATCTGGTGACTGTGGAGGCCATTTTAGTACAGTGAACTCATTGTCATGTTCAAGAAACCAATTTGAAATGATTAGAGCTTTGTGACATGGTGGAAGTAGCCATCAGAGGATGGGTACATGGTGGCCATAAAGGGATGGACATGGTCAGAAACAATGCTCAGGTAGGCCGTGGCATTTAAACGATGCCCAATTGGCACTAAGGGACCTAAAGTGTGCCAGGAAAACATCCCCCACACCATTACACCACCACCACCAGCCTGCACAGTGGTAACAAGGCATGATGGTTCCATGTTCTCATTCTGTTTACGCCAAATTCTGACTCTAACATCTGAATGTCTCAACAGAAATCGAGACTCATCAGACCAGGCAACATTTTTTCCAGTCTTCAACTGTTCAATTTTGGTGAGCTCTTGCAAATTGTAGCCTCTTTTTCCTATTTGTAGTGGAGATGAGTGGTACCCGGTGGAGTCTTCTGCTGTTGTAGCCCATCCGCCTCACGGTTGTGCGTGTTGTGGCTTCACAAATGCTTTGCTGCATACCTCGGTTGTAACGAGTGGTTATTTCAGTCACTGTTGCCCTTCTATCAGCTCGAACCAGTCTGGCCATTCTCCTCTGACCTCTGGCATCAACAAGGCATTTCCGCCCACAGAACTGCCGCTCACTGGATGTTTTTTCTTTTTCGGACCATTCTCTGTAAACCCTAGAGATGGTTGTGCGTGAAAATCCCAGTAGATTAGCAGTTTTTGAAATACTCAGACCAGCCCTTCTGGCACCAACAATCATGCCACGTTCAAAGTCACTCAAATCAACTTTCTTCCCCATACTGATGCTCGGTTTGAACTGCAGGAGATTGTCTTGACCATGTCTACATGCCTAAATGCACTGAGTTGCCGCCATGTGATTGGCTGCTTAGAAATTAAGTGTTAACGAGCAGTTGGACAGGTGTACCTAATAAAGTGGCCGGTGAGTGTATGTTATGTGTATTGATTATATATGAGACACATGTCAAAATATGTATTATACATACATGAACATTTATATTTATATGGGATAAATGTATGTCAATATGGAATTGTTCCCATTTC